TAGTACCCACCTGGCACCATACAAAGGGTGGATATATTTTGGAGAATGAACTAGCAGAGGTTTTTGATGGTGAAACATGAGAGAGACAGTGGATTCAAGATGATCCACCTGTTGTGTCCTGAGTAACTGGACATATCTGTTCTTAATTAAACTGAGAAGAAGGTTAGAAGAAGTATTTCTCCAGGGGAAACCAAGGCTAAAATTGGCCACTTTAAGTGGTACAACCCAGTAACCCTCCAAGTGGAAATGCTGAGTACACAGTGGGTATAAGATTCATAGTTCCAAGGAGCCATCCAGAATATCATTAATCAACCAGATAGTATTGTAGGACAAAGTGCAGGGTCGGGGGGTGGGGAGGGAAAGAAGAAAGGTGTGGAGTGCTTCTCCTTGAAGGTGCATGCACCCGCATGTCTCTGCACACAATAGGTAGGACTGAGTGTCTTCAGTACAGGAGGAGAAATTTCTACCATGACATCTGGGGGACTCGATTTCTTCAGTTAGTTGGCTGAGTCTTGATATGACCAAGATAAATCAAAGGCTGTAGGAACAGTAATTCTCTCCTATAGACTACCCGTCCACAATATCATCCCTGCATTTTATTAGTCACAGCTGGGCACATTTTCTGGGGTATAGGCCTGCTTCTGTGGTCATGGATCTTGGTAGGATCCACCCTAGTTTAGGAAACTACTCTGGGTCTTCTCACAGAGAGCGTGTTCTATAGCGTCTCCTCATTTCCTTTTTGTGGGTAGTAAAGGAGACATGAATACACCCCAAACAAATGTCTTTCAGATGTGACTATCATTTATTTGTATAGAACTTGTCTTTTGTAAATACCTGAAGATATTTCTTATTCCATCACTCACTGTCCTCATAGGAAGGAATTCAGCAGTGAACGATTATTTGGGTCAAGAACAAGTTCTGCATTGAAAGGTTCAGGCCACTTGATCTCAGAAATTGAGGTTGCAGCTGCATGTCAATTAATGATGTGTTATTTTATTTAGTCAACACACACCTATATAAGAACATGGAGCATTTGAGAGAAGTTGTCCATGACACCAGGAGATCTGGAGTGGGGGGTGGGGGTGGACACATGGATAACTGGAGGAAAGACGTTCCCTTGAGAGAGAAGGGTAAAGATCTTAAGGTAGGAGTGTGTCCATCTTGCTTGAGGAAAGAATGAATAGGCTCCTGTACTGAGCACCCTGAGGGAGGGGGAGGTAAAAGCCTATGTCTGAGCATTGGGTGTGGGAAAGGCACCCACAGTGGTGGCTCATGTGGGGCTTGGGAGCCTTGAAAGGATTGGGTCTTGTCCTGAATGTGTTAGGAACCAATGGCATAGCTTGAGCACAAGAGTGACACTATCTGCCTTGAGTTTCAGATGATAGCTTAACTCTCCTGCTGCTGGTGGAGAAGCAGGGAGCCCAGTTAGAGGGTGCTGTGAACTGTAACTGCACTGAAGGCAGCACATTCTAGGATGAAACAAACGTGATGTGAGAGACCACAGTGGAGTATTCACCTTGTGTTTGAGGTGTCAGGGAGACAGGCAGATGTATGTAGTCTGCATAGAATTAAAAGTTTGGGGCTGAAGCGGGGGCTGCAGCTGGGTGTTGGGATCCAATGGAGATTCTGGTGTCATTTTGAGAGACAGGCGGCTAATGGGTTCTCTGGCTCCTTCACCTCAGACTCATGATCATCACTCCGAGGTGATTCCCTGAGTTTCTAAGAGTGAGAAATATAATTTTCATCTAGGACTACAGGATTCCATTTATACAACTCACAAGACAGGAACTTAATAACCACAAGTGGTCATGTACTTTCTTAAAGATACATTGAGACATTAAAAATTTTAAGTTTGAGTAAAAACCAACTCTAATTGGGCAGCATCCAACAGAAAGTGATTAGGAGAGCTCCACAGAAAGGAAGCGGGGAAGAGACTTTCATAGAGAAAAGGCAGAAGAAAAATTAATTAATTAATTAAAACATTTTAATTAATTAATTTTTAAATAGTGACATTGGTTAATGAAATCTAATAAGTTTCAGCTGTACACTTTAACAGTAAGGCATATGTATATTTACACTGTGTTCGCCTCTCATAGATTTCTTTTTGTCACCACATATTTGACCCCCTTTACCCAGTCTACCTCTCCCCTACCCACTTCCCTCTACCCTCTGGTAGGTGTCTAGGTTTTACGAGTCCAGATTATGGATCAGAAGGCTGCTGAGTGAGCCAAGAATCACAGAAAGGGAATCGGGAGCTCTCAACTAAGAAGCTCCAAGATAAGGGAGTTTGCCTTTCTAAGGATATTTTTGCCCCAAAACAGCCTGATATAATTTAAAGTATCTGGAACTTAGATTCCAAAGGCTCCTTCTCAAGTCTTGGTTCCACAGTCACTCACCATGTGAACCTGGGCAACACAGCCAACTCCTCAAAGTCTCAATTTCCTCATTTAAAAAAATTTTTTTTAAATTATTAATTAATTTTATTTTTTATTTTTTTTAATTGCAGTTGACATTCAATATTATACTTGTTTTAGGTGTATAGTATAGTTGTTAGACATTCATATAGCTTATGAAGTGATCCCCCTGATAAATCTAGTACTCATCTGGCAGCATACATAGTTATTACAATATTATTGACTATAATCCTATGTTGTACTTTATATCTCTGTGACTATTTTGTGGCTACCAATTTATACTTCTTAAATCCTTCCCCCTTTTCACCCAAACCTATACCCCCTCGCATCTGGCAACCATCAGTTTATTCTCTATATCTGCATTTGTTTCTGCTTTTATTGTCTGTTTATTTATTTATTTTTTTTTAGATTCCACATATAAGAGAAATCACATGGTATTTTTCTTTCTCTGTCTGACTAATTTCACTCAACATAATCCCCTCTAGGTCCATCCATGTTGTTGCATCAATTTCTTCATTTGCAAACAAGAGTGTTTTTAAGCAATCGCTATGCCTTCATGGTGGGATCACTTGAAGTCAAGTGAAAAATGGATGTGAGTAACGTGGAATGTAAAAGTCATACATTATTTTTACTGATTGAATTTTGCCTATCACTAGACCAGGCAGAGAACCCTGCCTCTTTTCAGCAGATGAGAGACAGGCTGACAAACTCAATAACTTTGATTCTTTGGTTTCTAGGCAACTTACAAATCACTGTATTTCATACTTGACAAAATAACTTTTCAAATTAATCAGAGTCCAGTTTATTTATATCAGTAATCATAATTTGAGATTAAAAAGGATATAATAGACAGATTCTAAAATGGTCCCCATTGGTCCCTGTTTTTGGCATTCATGCCCTTGTGTGCTCTCCTCCTCATGAGTGTGGTTGGATTTAGTGACTCAGTTTTAAAGAATATAATTCAGTAGAATTCCTGGGAAGTCACTTTTGATATTAGGTTATAAGACGATAGCTTCTATGTAGTGTGTTTTTATTTTCAGTCCCTCTTTGATCACCCTGCCTGAGAGAAATCAACTGCCCTGCAGTGAGGCAGCCCTATAAAGAGAGAAAGAGGCCCAACAACAGCCAATGAGTGATCTTGGAGTAGAGCCTCCTCTCTATTGCAGCCTGGTGGACAGCTTCATGGTAACCTCACATGAGACCTAATACCAGCTAAAATTTGGAGCTATTTGTTTAACAGCAATTGATAGCTAATACAAATTTAAGGAAAGAATACTACACTGCTGTGCTACTTCTAAAACCATGAAAATGCTCGATAATGCAGCCCTGGATGGAGAAAGAGACAGAAAAGACAGGTGAAATTAGAAGGGGGCTGATGAAAGAGAAAACAGGGATAAGCCTAAAAAAGTGGAAATGCCTTTGACGGTGAAGATGAGGTAACTGGGTGAAAATGTGAGGATAACAATGAAAGAGTCGTGGTCAGAATGTGGTAATGTTTTCCACTCAGTTGTTTCTAATTTTTTTTTTTTTTTTTGCCTTAGGTTCAGATATTGTCACTACTTTCAAGGGATTTTTGCATGACTTGATTTCTTAATTTGCTTTTGTCCATGTAAAATCAGGCCATGCTTCTGGTTCCATTTCATACGATATATTTAGAAAAAAATCTTGACCAAATATCAAGAGAAATACCTATTCGTTGACATAGTCCAAATAAATTAATTGGAAATTTTGTAAAACAAAGAGTAAATGCTTCATTTAATTAGAAAGTCAGGTGGAATATATTAGTTAGAAAATTCATATAAAGAAAGCTGCTTGATTTCTACTGAAGATGACTTTATAGGCAGATATTCCCTCTATGTATTTATTAGCCAACATCTACTAAGGCCCTGTTCCTGTGGTTTAGAAGTCACTATTTTAAAAGTCACTATACAATTGAACTGTTCTTAAGAGGTTTGGACACCAAATCATTGCTTCTCCCCATTGACCCTGCAACTTTCCTGTCAACCCCAAGGTAATTGACAGCTATGGCACCCAACAGCACATCTTCCTTTTCATGTGATACACTAGAGGGCACTTCCTTTATCTATATTATAAACATAACAGAATGGCTAGTATGATAAAACTCTCAGAACATAGAGAAAGATATACACTAAAGAACAACTCATGCTTCATTCCCTTCCCTGTCTACAACACATGTAAGTGGCCTCTTGGACTGAGAGTCCAGCCCTGTTAGAGATAGTTTAACAAGTCTGTGTATTATCATAAAAGACTCAATATCATATAACAAAGCCAAGATATTGCTTTTAGAAAGGTCCTAAGACACATAAAAATAACTCCATTTCTGTTCTTCTGGGTAAGAATACACATCAATAAAAATACATGGACCATTTTATGACCTAACAGAGCTCCTACTGCTGTGTCATAGAGATATGAAGAAATGCCCTGAAGCTTATGTTGTTGAGGCCTCATGAGGGACAAACAATATGTCTGGATGAAGATGTACAATGCAGAAGCCAATAGAGAAATGCCTATCATTCCAAAACTTTTTGTCCATGTTCTCAGGTGACCAGGAACAACAACGGAGCCATGGAGATGTGGCTGAACCGATCATCCACAGATGGCTTCATCCTCTTGGGCATCTTTTCCCACAGTCTGCCTGACCTTGTCCTCTTCTCTGCAGTTACGGGGGTCTTCACAGTGGCGCTCTGCGGGAATGGCCTCCCCATCTTCCTCATCTTCACAGATCCTCGACTTCATACACCCATGTACTTCTTCCTCAGTCAGCTCTCTCTCATGGACCTCATGTTGGTCTGTGACATTGTGCCAAAGATGGCAGTCAACTTCCTGTCTGGCACAAAGTTCATCTCCTTTGTGGGCTGTGGCATACAAATTGGCCTTTTTGTCTCTCTTGTAGGATCTGAAGGGCTCTTGCTGGGACTCATGGCTTATGACCGCTATGTGGCCATCAGTCACCCACTTCACTATCCCAGCCTCATGAATCAGAGAGTCTGTCTCCAGATTGCTGGAAGTTCCTGGGCCTTTGGGATACTAGATGGTTTGATCCAGATGATGGCAGCCATGAGTTTACACTACTGTGGTTCAAGGAATGTGGACCACTTCTTCTGTGAGGTGCTGTCCTTATTGAAGTTGGCTTGTATAGACACATCTCTTTTTGAGCATGTGCTATTTGTTTGCTGTGTCTTCATGCTGCTCCTTCCTTTCTCCATCATCGTGGCCTCCTATTCTCGCATTCTGAGGGCTGTACTCCATATGCGCTCTGCTCAGGCCAGTAGAAAGGCTCTGGCCACCTGTTCCTCCCACCTGACAGCCGTCTCCCTCTTCTATGGGGCAGCCATGTTCATCTACCTGAGACCTAGGCGCTACCAGGCCCCAAGCCATGACAAGGTGGTCTCCATCTTCTACACAGTTCTCACCCCTATGCTCAATCCCCTCATTTATAGCTTGAGGAACCGGGAGGTGATGGGGGCCCTGAGGAAGGGGCTGGACCGTTGCAGGATTGGCAGCCAGCACTGAAGGACCAGGCCATCCTGTGCCTGGTGCTGCCACCTCTCGGTTGCATAATGCTGGTAAGTCACTCATCATTTGTCAGTGTCTGTTTCCTTATCAATAAATGGGAACAATGATGCCTGTCCTACCTCACAGGGATTTTGTAGGGATCCCTCCATGTGACTCATCGTTTATAAAGTCCTTGAAGTAAATTCACTCTATTCTTAACTCTCTTTGGTTGTAACTGTCTTTTATTGAGGGCTAACTAAGTGCTGGGCACTGTCTTATTCCCTTTACATATCTCTATATTATTTAA